AAATGGCAATACAGTAACACACTGCACTGTTTGCATGGGTGAATCCAGTTTGGAAACCCACAAGAGAAGGGTGGGTCCCGTTCTGGAAGAAGCGTTTTTTGTCAGGGTGCATATCTGTTACAGCACTTGGTCTTGGCAATTTATGTAGATATACCTATGCTGAATTCAAGATGTCTCCTCTCCTGCAAGGTCTGGCTCATTGTGGGGTTTTTTTTTAGGTGATAGCAGAATAGGGCATGTTATATTTATATGCTTACTATGAAATAATGATTCTCTTTTGCTTGCAGGGGTAATTATCCACAAAGCAGTGTCTATAGGAGAGCTCATGTATGTACTTAGTTATTTTCTGGTTTTAAAATTTACTTTTTCTTAGCTCTGCATAGAGAATATAGTAGTTGTGTGGTCTAAATGCTGATACTATTGTGTTTTGTTGAAAATATTAAATATTGACCTTCAGTCTGGTAGGTGTAAATGTAAATTGTTGGGCTGGAGAACCACTGTGTCTTAATAGATATTGATATGTTCTGTGCAAAGGAATGCTGGATGTGCCCAGCACTATCTGCAAGCAACCTGCTTTGCAATAGCCTGCTGGTGAGCACAGTCATTGAACAGTGTTATAGATACAGGTCTGCTCTGCTCTCTGCGTGAGGCAGCATCAATGCACTATGATGTTTTGGTTTATCCCGATGTAACTCTAGAAGTACTGTGAAACAAAAGCTACTCTAGAGAGTCAGTTCCCAATAACATTTAAAGCAATAGGCTCTATTTTAATAGCACACTGGATTTCTGCTGTTTGCTTTCCTTAATATCCAACTTGGGCCGGTTGATTCTAACCAGCTTCTAACTTTTTGTGTCGTTCTATGTGAATTGAAGATGAAGGTAAAGCAGATGTCACAAAGGTAAGACCCATGGTTATGAACTGGGCTTCCAGAGTTCATATTGGTTTCATTTTTAGGATGAGGAGGAATTATGCCCCTCCTTGGCTGTTTTAGTTTCAGAATAACTGTGGAACCTTTAGTTATATAAAACAGAAAAGCTCATGTGGAGTCAGAACCACAGTAATGCTTGACTTTAGAGAAATGTATTTGAGCATCCAAGGTTTCCTTCTCATAGCCCATAACCTGGGAGGCAAAAAGTGCTTCTGTGGCAAGCTGGGAGGCTTGTGCTGCACTGTGAGAGGTGGCTGTGGGCAGTATCCTTCACTGGGGTCAGAGAAGTCAGTGGACAGTGCCCAAGAAGGCTGCCAGGATGAACCCTGCACCTCTTCTGCAGGAAATCCTAGTTGCCTTCTGACCTGAGGCCAGAAGAGGAAGGGGAGCTGGGTTCCCATCACCTTCAAGGGGTTGTAAATGGCTTACAAAGGCCATGCTGAGTGGGGAACAACTGTGTAAAGACAGGATTAAGTTGGAAACACTTGAAACATCCCAGACCTAAGGAAATCTCACTTGTTAGCCCTCAGTTAAATTAGAGGTCCATTGAGGTGGTCCACCACAACTGAGAGCTGGCCTCTTGCATCTTTCTGCCATGTCCGAAGCCACTCAAAGACAGAAACAGTCTCTCCAAACCTCCTAAAGTCAGCAAACATAGTTATCCAGAAGAACAGCTGTTTTGAGGAGAAAAAGCTGGAATCCAATGGAGATGCTGTTAGTTAAATCTCAGTTTTCCAGGGAGCCTTGGAGTCTGCCAGCTCTCAAGCACCTCATTGTTTTATGACTAGCTCACTTCAAACTTTAAAACATCATTGGAAAATGCTTACTTGTGATAGAGATGTTTCTTTGCCAAGGTAACGTGATTAGGAAATCTTTTGAGGTATTTGCCATGCAACTACAAGAAGATTTTTGTATCTGTATTCCCAATAATTTGTACTTTAGAAAGTATTTCCAGAGATAAGGTACTAGTGTACACAAGAAGTGGCATTTGGTGACATTTGCCGTAGGACTGCACTTATGGTGAACAAAATACATACATAAATTATCCAATTCAGTAGAATTTTCTGGGTTACTCCTTAATTTTGTAGCCACTTATAATTGTGAAGTGTTACTAATATGGTAGCCTTATTTGTGTATTTTTAGCTACATTTGTAAGGCCATTATAAAGGCCACATCATTTGAAATACAAGAAATGCTGGCTCTCAAGATCAAACAGTTGTTGAATGACACTTACGAAGAGGGACCATTATCCTTATACGTGAAACCCGAAGATGTGGCTGTCAAGCCAATAGGTAATACTTCATTAAAACTTCATTGGAAATCACATGCTTTGTAATTCTGGCTACAAGTGTTCCATCAAATTTGAATTTTGTGGAGAGGTTAGGCTAGAAAACATCCTTACAAGTAACCAGACTGACCTCATCTGATGCACAAGCTGTAGAACATCTTGCAATGACAGCAAGATCAAAAAACTTGGCTTCCAGACAAACAGAGGCAAGCTAAAACTTGAATCCTGGTGCTAAGGCAGGTCTGAGCACCTCATAATGAAAGGTAAGGTCAGGCTGATGCAGCTGCAAATCCAGGAGCCCCTGCTCCCAGCCAGTGCCCCAGAGCCTGGCTACTGAGGGAGGTCAGAGCCAAGCACGAAAACCAAACCCATCGCCAACATTTGTTTAATGTCAGTGCGTATCGAACCAAGCCTCAAATGGCAAATAATCTCTTTGTTGGCTTGGTTACAATCTCTATCACTCCTCAAAATACAGAAGTAAGTCAGAGATAAGAGCTAACAGACTGTACCTGAAACTCAAAACCACATTTTATACCAAAGACTTACAAGAGATCAGCTGCAGACAATAAAACTACAAGGCTGGAGGAAAGACATTGATGGGATAATGAGGGGCAGTGTGAAAACATCTTCAGATAGATTAGAAAAGCCTGCAGGATGTACTGTCATTAAATACTGTTTGTGATGCTGGGAAACTAAGGCTTTATCTGAGAACTGACCTTGTCAAACTAAAGAGGAAATGATTGTAGAATAACAGATTAAATATGTAAGCAAAATGTTTTCTTGCAGCCAGCAAACTTGCAAAATACTCTTATCCGGTCTGCAAATTACAGCTCATTCCCATCAGGAATGGAGGTCCAGAGAGCAGCTGGGTCCCTGGGTGTCAGGGGTCTTCTTTTCAGCTAGTGAATCTTTTTAAAGAGCGTATACGTGTTTCTTCCTCAGCACTAATGGACTGTCCAGAAAGCTTTTCACACACAGCCTACAAGGGGAATTATTCCTGGCCGCTAACAAGTCCAGCTACCGAAGCGGAGGTTAGCTGCCGGAAAAACCCTCTGCAGTCTGCTCAAAGGAGTTGGTGAGCAGTGAGATCATCTCGGTTTGGTTCTTGCCTGGGAAACCCGAGGGAGCGCCAGGCTCTGTGTGATGGGGAACCAGATGGCAGCCTGTCATGGCACACAGCAGTGCTGTGCCAAGGAAGATGTAAAGGATCCAGGGCCAGTCCAGCACGGGCTGCAGGAAAAGGGAGTGCTGCAGCACGTTTGGAAGCTGACTTTCTGCTTGAGCAGGGTTGGGGGGATACAGATGCACTGAAGCATTCTGTGTCATCCGTTCATGGCTCTCTGCCCTCCAGGACATCCAGATGCATTTCAAATTGCTCTGCCATTGGGCTCGCTTCAACTCTGCTAAATGAGTGCGAAATCAGATCTGACTTGCAAGTCAGTTTTCAAAATTGGGCTAATTAATTACATTCTGAGCCACTTAAATGGGAAATATGAGGAACATCAATTATTATGTATTTTTTCTTGTAACAATGTACACTGTTTAATTTTTTAGTGCAATTAATATTGAACTTGAACAAGCTTTCTGGAAGAAACCAAATATGACTGAATGTAAATTATTGGAAGAGCTTCCAAATAATATTTTAGACCTCCATGATATCACAATAACAGAAGGTAAGGCACCAGATACTTTAGTGACCCAGTAAATCATAGTAAAAATAGTTATACTCAGGTAATGCTTATGTTGAATATTTGAAGAACTGAAGTGATAAAGTTGTTTTGTGTGCATCCTACTCACCTGGTCATCCTAAAGTGTTTTTAATGTGGGGGTATTTTGCAGGTGCTTCAAAACTCTCTATATAGCACTTTAAAAATTGAGACAAGTCTTCACGCTTAGATTTAGAACTAAGTAAATAACCAATGAATAATGTGATGGGTTTTGCCTGTCTATACTCTCTTTGTTACCACACCAATTTAGTTCATAACATCTCATGCAAAGAAGCACAAATCAGTGTATGGAATTGAAAACTTTGTACTGTAATTCATGTAAGCCATAGGGTGACCTTTACCACCTGATTCTATCTTTTTTAAGCTATGCCAAACAGCACAAGTTGTTTGAATGGTGAACAAAAGCAATACCATAGCTTATCCACCTACTCAGCAGTGGCATCAAAGAACAGACCACTGAAAGATATCTGCAGTTGCATACAGTCTGTCTGACTCCCAGGGTGTAAAACTCTGCTTCTATAAAAAAAAATATAGAAGGATGGTGAGATGATGAATGGCAAATACAACTTTTCAAATATACCATTCAAAATTTGCTTTTGCTGCTATATCCGTTAAGCAGCATTTGGAGAGAGGGAGGAATCTTGTGTATTTTTGAACTCACAAATGCTTGTAAATATATCCAAAGTTAAAAATAAATATTATTTACAGATAATCTTTATAATTGAAAAGCAGGTGATAATATTCTTATGAAAAGTACATTGCTTTCTTCCTTTAAAATACAACCTGAGATATCCGTATTTTACTTTTTGCCAGTTTCATTGACGTGTCTTCTTGAATTATTCTTAGGACATAATTTTGTTATGGATCAGTAGCATTATGACCACATGGAAAGAGAAGAGAAGCAAACTAACTCCTTACTTTAACAAAGAGACATGTAGCTGTATAGCTAGACATATAGCTATGCCACATAAATCATCTGTACTTTCGTTTTCGACAGAAAATGCACAAGATGTTGTACAGCATATTTTATACCTCTTGCCAAATGCAACACTGCGTATGGAAGAATTGGAGATCATTGCAAGTAAAGTTTCTGATATCGTAAGGCTTGCAGATATGAGCATGACACTTGCAGAGACTGTCTTGTATGTACTAAACTACATTTTGCTGCAAGAAACAGAAGATCAGACCATTAAGAAAATGGCCAATAGGTAAGTAAGATAAATTGCCCAGAAATGGCTTCCTAAGCTAAAATGGCACCATGGAGTAATTCATTCAGTCTATTAAAATATTACCACAAGAGTTAAGAATTTCTGTACTTGGATCTTAAACTCGTGTGTGGTTCTCGGCAGTAGATGATGGTTATTGTGTTGTCAACGGTGCTTTTACCAGAAGCAGTTCTGCAGATTCACCATGACAGCGTTGTTCTTTATGGGCACCTCAGTCTGGAGGCAGATGAGGGAGACTGCCCAGCTGCCGGCTCATCTCAGAGGTGATCTTCACAGCCCACCTGTGAGGTCTGTGGGCTGCTCAGCCTGGAGACATGTATTTGTTCCATCAGCACGCAGCCTGGAGTGCTGTACCTGCGCTGATAAAGGTTTTTCAAACATAGCTATTCAGTGTTAGACTTCAAAGTTACATTTAGAATCCAACATCCTTTACGTGATTCTCACACACGCTAAAATGGAGGTTGCTCGATTAACTTTAAAAGCATCTCTCGCCTTTGAGATCTTAAGGGTAACTCGACTACCTGTTTTTGAAATGCCTGGTTTCTGTTGCTGAGCAGTGCACTGTTCAGTAATCTACTGCCAGCCTTTACAAAGGCTAATGCAAGTACACAGAGTTTACTCATTTCTGATTTGGGGGCAAGACAGCTTACCCACTTCTCTCTGCATGGCCTGAACCTCCAAATAGGAAAGATTATTCTCCTTTGCACTGGCAAATCCAGTGCTAACCAACAGTGTAAGAGATGTAGTATTCATCATATTAAAAAGACTTTCAGTATTTCTCATTTTAAAGACTGTGCATATCTACAATTTTCTCTCATTTAATGTAAAACAATATTTTAATAAGAAATATTAAAATAAGAAATAACAAAATAAAAATCAAATTTCCACTTAAGTCCTAGGTGGGGTGTGGACTACACAACAGCCCAGCTGTTTGTACGGGACAGCTATGCATTGCCTTTTCAAACTCAGGAGTCCACAAGGAGGAGTAGCCAAAAATAGATTAGAAAATCTGCTGGAGAGAAATCACTGAGTAGCATCGTGATCCTTTTGGCTGTATGCTCGCTCTTCAAAGTCTACCGCACTGCAGTGTGCGGAGTGGGGGCTGTGATAGCTGCCAGCACTCAACACCTCTGCCTTCTCAAATAGGCTGTGGGTTTTTTTTTTTAAGTGAAACATCCATTACTTCAAATTCTTCTCCTGTGAAATGTAAGGTTTTAGGGACAAGGATGATATTCTAATAAGCCCCGGATTCCTGATTCTTAATGGAGATGGTGTTGGTATGTACAAATTACAATGAAAGCATCTTTACAAAGTTTTATGGACAGGACAATCTTAGGTGTTTTAATTTCTCCATAAATCAGAGCTCAGAAGAGCACAACAACCACTATGACAATACCTGACGAGTGCTAGCATGATATCCTCACAAGAGCTATTACACATCTTCTTTCAGGCCTCAGTAGAAATACTCAGTCCCAGATATTTTGAGGAAGTTGAACTCCAGACTTTGCAGCTCTAGGGCAGCTGTGGCTGAAAGGATCCCGTGGGGCTCCTTGTGTGTCTGGGACCAACGATGCATGAAGATAACACCAGACCCAAGAAGCACAGGAAGATTATCTTTTAGTCTGTCAGGGCCAGCTGTCATACACACTTTCAATAGAGTATTATCCCTTCTTGCATACTGCTGAATAGCCTTAAGGGTGGCCAAACAAGATGTGGAGCTGTCTTTGACTCTTTTAATAGCCATGACTATTAAACAACCCCAATTTACTGTTTCCTTTGGATTTCGGCCTCTTCTCTCTACTTAGAAAAAAAAACCAAAACCAAACAAACCACTGAGAGCAGGGCCCAGAAAGCCTTGAAATCTCCATCCTCGGAGATATTCAGAGCTTTACTGGACAAGACCCTGAGCAACTGACCTCTCTTTAAAGCACGCTCTGCCTGGGGGAGGTGTGGAGTTGGAGGACAAGCCTCCAGAGGTCCCTTGCAGACTAAAATATTTTGGCTCTGATATTTAACCTGAGGGTACAATTAGATCAAATTAGCAGGTTTTACAAGTTATTGCCTTTCAGGTGAAATGCAGTGTTTGACTGGGTGTGAATTTTGACTCTGGTCTTCCCAGAACCACCTTGTGCTGTCCCATCGGGAGGGTATCTCCCACCTGCCAGACTTTCAGCCTGCTGAAACATGCTAACTCAACTGCTTGCCATCACCTGACCCAGTGCCAGACAAAATGGCATCTACCCCAAAATGGACCCATTCTGCTCTAGTGATTGGTCCTTGTAATCATAAATCAGAGCAGAGGTTTTTAGCTGATTGCCTCCTGGATGCATATGATGAAGCCAGGAGAACTTTTCAAGAGATAGATATTTTTTTTTTTTCCTCTTGCTGTTGCTCTTGGTAAAGTATCCTGAAGACGACTGAGGAGATAGGCTATAAGGTGACTTACACTGGAAGAAATACGTCGGTCATAACCACTTCCTTGGCTTTGTTGGTGATGCGTCCAGATCCCAACGTGTTTGGAGGACTGGCCTTTGGTGTTACCTCCTATGACAGAGGCATGGGTCTCAAGGTGAGAGCAAAGTATCCCCTCAGGAACCACTGACTAAACCAGACAATCCTCCCTCTATTTTGTACCATTGTGTATTTGACCTGAGGAAGGTGGCTCTGAGCATGTCATATCTCTCTCCTGCAGATCAGTGTTCAAGAAAACCCTTTCAAAAAGGCCTTGGCCTCAGTGTTTTTGCCAAAATCACTGAAGAAATTCCTAGGGATTGAGCACTCTGACCCGGACAAGCATTCAAAGATCCAGTTTAAGTTTTTTGGCACTACATCACTCTTTGCGGTAATGCGATATCATTCTAACCTACATCCTTGGCTCTACAGCTCCTAACAAATGTTAACGTGGCAGTAATTGGTTCAGCTGTTCTTAGTGCGCACAGAAAAAAAAATCCCAACAGCGTCACCTGTTCCGGGCATATTTAGCATCAGACTGGTGGAACTCTAAGGAAAGTGCAGGGAGAATGTACCCAGGCGGCAAAACTTCCTCTGTGCCCATGATGCTCTGAGCGGTGTCTGTAGACCTTAGACTTTTTGTTCATTTTCTGTAGCTGATGTTATTCTAATACTTCTGTTCTGTAGGAAAGAATATACCCTAATCTTCCTCTGATAGTAAGCTCTTTCTTAAGGAATGTGCATAGTACATATCAACTATAATGAAAATAATTTCAAGATCTGTGTCTCCATTAAAATAATAGCAGCATTGATATGCAGCATTTAGGACTATTCTAGTACTTGTTTTCTTAACTTGGGGGTGGGTGAGTGTAATTTAAAAGGAAGACATTTCTTTTGGTACGATGGAGCATACAGTGTGCTGAGCAATGCTTTTCACACAGAAGCAGCATTCACAATTGTGTCTACTGTCTAATGAGCTTAATGATGTACAACTGGGTGTTTTGATGTACTGAAACAATTATACAGCTTTCTCAATCCAGCTGATGCATCTGAAACTCTGTTCTGCTTCAGCTGATGTGAAGACTGTCCCTGAATTTGCAACTAACTACATTTTCTAATGAATTAGCAAGGAGCTAAATTACATCAGGCATCCCATGGTGTCTAGCTGATTGTCATTTCCAATAAATACAATTTTTAAAAAATGGAAGGAGGGAAGAGCTTGGATTTTTTTTTTTTTTTTTTTTTTTTTTTTTTTTTTTTTTTTTTTGCATGCATGTGTTTTTCCACTGCAGGATGACAGTTTAACGAAGGAGATGTTGAATACTTACGTTGTGAGTGCCAGCATTGAAAACGCATCAGTTCAGAACCATAATGAGCCTGTGATTATTACTCTTCAGCACATAGTCCAAAATACGGTAGGATGTGTTCATTTCATCAGAGATGTGTTGAAGTAGAGCCTAAGTTCACTTACCTTTATAATAAAATAGCAACAGGACAAATAAGCTTAAAACCTTTTGCTGCCTGACATCTCCATGATGTATCAACCAAAACATTGACAGACCACACAGATCTCGGTGTTTAATTCCCACAGGTTAGTAAAGCTTGTGTCTCCACTCTAAACCCATGCTTCACGGTAAGGGGCATTTTAATTGTTTCCTTGGTTTGATCTGGGCATTTTTTTTTTTCAAGGAATAGTTTACTTTCTAAAAAAATGGCAAGTTTTGGGTGTGACTGAAATGATTTGTAGTTGCTCTGAATTCAGCAAATCGTTTTAGTCACCAAAAGGGGTAAATTTCAAAGAAATCAAAACATTGCATAGATGTTTTCAAAAAGAATTTGCTTTGTTTTGTACCAAAATGATGTTTTGGAACTCAAATCTATCTTGAATTATTTTTGATGGGCATAGGTCAAATTTGTTGACTCAGTTGCACCTTAACATTTTTGTGTTGCAGCTGTTTATGGTCCAGCCTCCACACGAATATATCGCAAACCCAGGGAAAAACAAAATTATTCAATAAGATGAATCTGAATTCAAGTTAATAAGATGAATTTGAATTCAAGTTAATAAGATGAATTTGAATTCAAGTTAACGACAGCTCGAAAATGCTGCTGTTATGGCAATATGCTCTTTCCATCCAGTTCTAGCAAATAATACATACGCAGAAATTTCATCTAGATATCCCCTCTCTTCTATCATTTTTACTCCACCAGGCCATCTGGCACCTCTAAGATTTTTTTTTTCCTCGACCTTTTAAAAATATACTAATTAAATGTTTAATGAGATATCATCCTAACCTACATCTTTGGCTCTCTGCCTAATTATATACAGATCACACGTCTTAACAGCTTATCTGTTAAGATGGCTTCCTGTAAACTCTGTCTTTATTAGACTTTATTAATAATAAAAGAAAATGAATCTGTGCCTTGGGAAAGTTTGCTGCAGCATTGTGAGTAATAAACTAGAATGTCCCCAAGGGAAAACATTGCATCAAATACCCATTTAAATCTGTTCAGCTGTTTGCAATACGCAGGCAAGCTTCATTTTCTCTTAGGTATCTTCCCTGTCTGGTTTCAGAGACAGTGGAAACACTGAAATTCTAAAATAAAGGTTTTCTTGTGTTGAGAACTGGTTTTGCTTTCTACTGTATAAAATTTCAGGTTGTTATTCTAGGTCTTAGTCATAACTTGAATTTCACCAGTAATTCGATGTGACATCTCAGATACCACATGAACCCAATGAGATCAGACACAGGAACTGGGCTAAACTGGACAACTTGTCAGATCCTCTGCTGTCCTTAAAAGACAACACAAGATACAGAAAGACTGGGAAAACTGAAAATCACTGACTCCCAGGATTTCCCTTAGTAAAGGGAAAGGCAAAAATTGAGCCCCTCTGGCTGGCTTTCAGTGCCACGGGTGAGATGGCTGATACCCCACATGGTTCCCAGTGACCAAGTGTCCGACTGCTCCTGAACTGCTGGCATCTCCAGGGACCTGCAGACCCTCTGCAGCACCACCATGCAGATAATGGGCTTTCAGTGCAGAGGGAATCAAATCGAACTGCATTAGTTATAAACCCTGATTACAGGCAAAATGCACCGTCTGCAAGTGTACAGACGTACTGAATAAATGTCACAGCTTCCTTTTTCTTTGCTTTCAGGGTAATGCAGCAGTGCAGTGCGTCTTTTGGGACTTCTGGAAAAACAGTAAGTGTTATTTACAGAGCTGTCACGCTTGCTCTGTCACCAGCCTCACAGAGCCTTTGGCTTCTTGACACTGCAGCTTGAAACCTTGAGGCTGTCTGTGTCGCTGGCTTCCACTGACATTGATACCTTGGCAAACGGTGTTATTACGAGGGGATACATGCCTGGCATTGTACAGTGCTGCATCTACATGAATAAGAAGACTTAGTTTTAAAAAAAAGAAGCAGAAATTCAATGAAACGTCAGATAACCTTACACTTCAGGGAAGCCAGTGGTGGCTTTGCTGTCGTCAAGTCTTGAATATGGCTCAGGTAATCAACAGACACAGAAAGAGAATTGTGTACTGGGTCAGCCCAGAACATGTGGGAGAGGTTTTTCTCTGCAATTATTGGTGTTAGAATAGATATATTTTTTTTTCAGTCAGAAGCTTAGCTTCTGAATATGTCATACACATCACATAAATAGGGTCATCAATTTAATCTTACCAGGGAAGATGCAACTTTTTCAGTGCTACACTCTGCCTAAACAAATCCTCTGCCCTGTAAATATTTCTTGCCTTCTGTGTTTCCACATCCTGCAGCATAATCTAGTCCAGAGCACTTTTCCTTACCTTTCTGCTTTCTCTGTGTGCAGGCATGTAAATGACTTTAAATATTTCTTCATTCCATCAAAGGCTTTCATCCAAGTTTTGAGGTTCTGAGGCAACCATATAAGATGTGTTCCTGTGTGAAATCTCACTCGTGTGCTGTTAAATGACCCTGCAATCTGTACTAACTTGAGCTCATATTCACACATTCTACATGCTGCAGAGCTATAAATGACTGAGCATGACTAACTCTGCTTAAAAATCCTTTTTTCTCTATTACACAGATGGACTGGGTGGTTGGAATACATCGGGGTGTGAAATGGAATATACAGATATGAATTACACAATCTGTTTTTGTAACCATCTTACCCATTTTGGAGTCCTACTGGTAAGTACTCTGTGAATCATCTCCAAAAAAGTCCCGTGGCACTAAACAAAGTCATCGCTAGTTTTGGGGAGAGATGGGAGATTTATATCTATACAGCCTGTTAGATATCTGTAATTTTGCCAAAATCAGTAATAACAAACAAAAGAGTTACAATAATTTTTATGGTATAAAGTCTTCTAAATGTCACTTTCTTCAAGGCAAATTTTACAGATGTAGCTTGTACTTCTTTGCAATGTAACTTAATCAACATTAATGTGTTGTGTTCTGCACTGGAAATACTATGTTAAATTTATCACCTGTCAGTGGCAACTAATGACACCTTTCTGAAAGTTTTATCTACTCTCCCTCGGAAAGGGAAGTTTGATATAAATACAGGAGATGTCATTAACTATTGTCTCTTATTTCTCTGTAATGCAGAGAAAACTGCCTCTAAAAGTTGCATGTCAGAAAGTAAGATGACTGCCTGAGATTGGGCTGCAACAAATGCAAAGTGATAGGCAAGTTCAAAGCAAAGTGAGGAGATTAAAGGTGTCTAATCCCAGTGGGATACAACCTACGTGATGGAGTAAGGTCATCCCTTGGCCTTCAGATGCTTGCTCAGCTTCCCCTAGAATTCAGCATCACCCTGCTCCGAGAGGCATGAAAGCTCTCCTTGGTAGTAAAAATGTGACTTCCACAGGAAGGAATTTAGATGTTACAGACTTCAGACAACGTGCTAAAGTTTCCACTCAAGCAAAAAGAATTCAGTCTGATTTTAAGATCTCACCTCTTCTGCATTGCCACTTCAGGGACCAGCACAGTTACAAGTATATAACAGCACCCTTGATTGTACATCAGAGATGTAGGTTACTAGTCTGAGGTTTGAAGTTTCACCAAATAGAAGAGAAACTGTAGCTGGGAACAACAATATCCTCTCAATATTACTCCTGGAAGCAGCTGTGGAGAAGAGGGCCCAGCCTCCCAGCTGATCTTTGCAGAGGGATGCTTTCTGGACATGCAGGATCCTCCCAGGCTCTAAGACATTTAGCAGGTTTGTGCAGTTCCCAAGCGTGGCAGCTGCCAGGGAAACAAGTAGAGTCTCTAGAGTCTCTCTTACAAAGACAGTTTCCAAATCCTTGTTGAATTTGTGGCTTCTGAAGTACAGCTTTTCTAGCCTCACAACTTAATACTGGATACTTTAAATACTGCATATTTTTACTAGTTTGGATATTGTAGGACTATACAATAAGAAACACACAAAAATATTAATGGAAACTCTCCAGTGAGCAGAACAGAAATCAATTTCTTTATCAATGTGAAAATGTAGAAAGCAATTTTATCTGTTATGGCAAACCACTGTGATTCTTTATCTTGTGACATAGGACTTGTCCCGGACAGAGATAGATATCACACATGATCGTATATTAACTCTGATAAGCTATGCAGGATGTGGTACTTCTTCCCTGTTTTTGGGTATAACACTGGTGACATATCTAGCCCTTGAGTAAGTGTGATCCTTTTTCTTATATTGCTTTTAATATTTTAGCAACAATGAATTTGCAGCAGCTATCAAAATGTTTGGTAGTATTTGATGCTGTGATGCGTAAGAGGGAAGACCGTGAGCAGACAGTATAAATATTGCTTTATTTTGATCTGTGACTGTGGTGAAATGAGAGGGATTCAAATATTCATGTTTCAATACAAGCACTAGACTGAACTGTTCAGCAACTTCTACGTCCCTAAATTTCTGTCATTTCATAAATTTACCCATAGGTATGGGTAAGATATCATGTAGAGAATCTGGAATATTCCCTGTATATAGACTGTACATTGGATGATATCAGTAGTAAAATAAGGAAACTTTTCTCTTGCTCTCGGTCCTTCTCGTGTTTTGTCTTTTGGGATAGGTTTCGTTTTATACTGTGTGTGCCAGTAGCTCCTAGACTTAGGTAACCATGGGGGCTTTCATAATCCAGTAATATTGCAGTAACAGTAATATTTGATGCAGTAGTAAAAAGATGATGTTAAGTCTGTCTCTCCTCCACCAAGTGGGAAAAACCCAGCAGGTCTCCATGTGTACAGAAGCTCTGCTTTTTCAGGCTGGGAGATCTCCTTCAAAAACACACTAGTGATGTGATATAAAACACTAACGTAGACACGACAGTTTACAATATGACAAATACACATCTGGGCTACTTCGCATTAGTGAATGCACTCAGCAGAACTCATGCAATGATAACCCTGCAGACTTTCCCCTTCTTTTTAGAAAGCTGCGGAGAGACAACCCTTCAAAAATCCTGCTCAATCTTTGTGCTGCACTGCTGATGCTGAACATGGTTTTCCTCACCAATTCCTGGCTGTCCTCATTCAACCAGCCAGGTCTCTGTATCACTGTGGCCGTGCTCCTTCACTATTTCCTTCTTGCAGCTTTCACATGGATGTGCCTGGAGTCTGTTCATTTTTACTTGGTTCTTGTCAAAGTTTTCAATGTTTATGTCCCAAAGTACATCCTAAAATGCTGTATTGCTGGCTGGGGTAAGTGGGTTTATTCTCCACTTCTGTGCTTGTTAACTTCTCTAAGATAGGGACACATTTGCAAAAGCAAGTTAGGACACTGAGCTAGTAGAAATGTGGTGCACACCCTGATCCCTAAGGATGGATTTCTTCCCCCAGGCAGGTTTAGTTTAAGTTTCTTCTGCCCACAGAGACACTCACAGAAAGTGCCTGTTGCTCCCTGCACAGAATCACATGCAAGGAAAGGCGAAAGTGGGTGTAAGGAACTGCTTTCCCTACGCCTCCTGCTCTTTACAGGAATGATTTATCATGGTACCTCATGTCTGTGGGTGTGCCTAAGGATGTATGAGCTGCCCACAGCCTTCATCCCTGCATTGGTGATGCTCCGAGGTGATTCTGATCTCCTTCTCCAGGCCTCGTGTCCTTGCCTGCCATTCTATGCGTGATTTCCCCATGGAGGGTGGGTTGGGCTTTCATTCATCGCTCTCCTGGGGACTTCACTGATTCACCTTTCCTCCCAGTACTGAGCATCAGAGACTTGCTTGGGAGAAATGTAGCAAAAAGGACCCAAAATGCTGGCTCAGCTGTTAGAAAAAGTGTTAGCAGAGGCACTGACCCAGAGCAGGATTTGGTCTGTATTTATGGGGGGCCGTTAGGTGTGTTTTAAAGGGGTTTTTAGGCTTTTGAATAGTGTGTAGTGTATCATGATCTCTGTCTTTAGATCTGATATCACACGTAATTGTTCTCAGCTGCAGCCATCCATGATGATGGTGTAGGCAGCAGCCGTTCCCAACAGAAAAGCCAGAACTGAAAGAAGTATGGGAAATGGGAAATGAGTGGAAGGGAAGACCGATAAAACACTGTCTGGAAATTGTCTGCCTCTGTCAGATCTTAACACAAAATGCTGTGGTCTGCTTATCTTTTGACACTCTGCTTTTTGTAATAATCAGTTGGTTTTATTTTACCAGATTGGGTCCCTTCTGGAGATGTTTGAACACTCATAAACATTTTGCAAACACAGATATTTTCATGCCTACTCATTTGTAATTTATATAAATAAGGAGATTAAACCTGCTACGCCACACATGTAATTACACTCATTTCAGAAGGAGCTTCAGGGGTAGAGTTTGATCCTAAGATGTACATGTCTGCTGTTCTCATCAGAGATTATCTGACATCTTTCCATGTTCTTCGCTTTTTCTTTCTAATCTAATTTTTTTCTCTTGCCTTCCATATCAGGAATACCAGCTATTGTAGTTACTATTGTGCTCATTATAAATAAAGACTTTTATGGCAATGGATCACATTCTGAGAGCAATCCCTTCAGCAATTTGTAAGTATAATACTTTAAACATTTTACTGGTCACCAGAGAATCTTAAAGACATAAGAAGTAACCAGAAAGCAACAACTTCTCTCTTGCTTTTGTCTTTTCTCACCCATCTTAACACTCTCCTTTTAGTGGTTCTGGTTCATTGTATAATTTTGGATGGATGGTTACAACATGGAGTAACTCTGACATCAGCAGACTGGGCTGGAGGACAAGGGAGGGTTTCTGCCAGTCAACTCCATTTTACTTTCTGGAAAATCTCTTTCTTTATATCACATTAACTGAGTACAGTGGAACATCTGTATATGTTCCTGCATGTTCTAGATTTCTGGCAAAACCCAAAGGCAGAATCATTGCTCTAGTTTTTTCCACATTTGCTTCTGATTTTTTTTTTTAAATGTCCATTCACATACTGTCTCTTCATAGTTTCAAATTCTTTAAATCAACCTCCGCTCTTTTCCAGTGAGAAAACACCTCAATCTTTCCTCCCCTTTTTCACCTGCTTTCTGTTTAGCAGAATCTGTTCATTTGTTGATGAAGATTACCTAGAATATTTGAATTGTATCCCATCAGAGAGGCAACACACACTCATGACACCTCAGAGGGAAAACTGTTACCCATCTCCAGCAAAAAGCAGTGAAACTCACTAATTTATGTCTGAGAAAAAGTGAACCAGTGCCCATCTCTGTGCTATACTATTATTTAGACTTCCAATTAAGTTGTATTTAACTTGGTTTTCCTAGTGTGCCTTTGTGTGTATACATCAAGCTGTGAAACAACTGTCAGGTTTATCTGAATTTGGCAGAAATATCAAAGTCTCAAAGTTACTGAATTTCTATAACATCCATAAAAAAGGCAAGTAGAGAGATTCTGTGAATGTCCTCATTTGGGGAAAGTAATGGGTGTTACGGAATATCCCTTACTAGGTACTGGAGAACCATACAGGACACTTACTCTGGAAACGAGGCTTCATTAGTTTCGCCGCTCACAAAACTCCTTACTGAATACATACCTTCCTTTCTTGCAGTTGCTGGATTCAGGAGAACATAGTGTTTTACATGTCCGTTGTGGCCTATGTCTTCTTAATATTTTTGATGAATACAGCCATGTTCATCACTGTTCTCCTTCAAAGCCACTCTATGAAGTCAAGGATACAAAGGAGATCTAGATTCTGGAAACGGGGTTTTCTTCAAGACCTCAAAAGTGCTTTCAGCTTGATGTTTCTTTTGGGCTTAACTTGGAGTTTTGTCTTTTTTGCCTGGGGACCAGTGAGGATATTTTTCTTGTATCTCTTCAGCATCTTTAACACCTTGCAAGGTAACTTCTGAATGGAGTACTGCTATAAATACAACAGTTTAGGGCTGTGGAATGGAAATAAATTTGTAACATCATGTACGATAGTCTAACAATCAATCAGTCAGGATGACAGTGTTGTTTAATAGCATTGCTGTGATATACTATTAAAGACATGAATTCATGCCTTTGAAATATGGGTCCCTAAATGCCTCTTACAGGAGCTGACACAATTTCATCTGAGCATAAAAATGGTTGTGAGAATCTACAGTGACTTGCAGATTATTCTTATACAAATCTGCCACTAGCTCTTCCCATTACCCTTTCATATGCACAAAGGACTCTATAGTTCTGGGCCAACATGATGCTGGCCCAGGGACCACCTCTCTCCCCATACATAATAAACCAGTAACTAAGTGGCATACAAAAAGTTTACAAAAGGGACAGAAGGTTGGAGAATCCACCTGAAAACCTGTACATTTCTCTTCTTACTTCTTTAGGGTTCTTTATCTTTGTGTTTCACTGCCTAATGAAGGAAGAAGTAGTGAAGCAGTGCCGAGTACACTTTTGCTGGGGAAGATTTCATCTGAGTAATTATCCTGGTAAGCATCGAGGGGGTTTGTTTAGCTGGATTTGTAAGTCTTTGCCTGCTACTGGCATCACATTTGTTCTATGTTAAGAAATAAGGCTCCCCTCAGTAGCCTTTCTGTACTGCATTGGGTAATTGTTCTTTAATAGGTTTTTGTCCTCTTCCATTAACTGCTTATATGATATGATGATGGAGTGACAGCATGCAGTAAAAAGCAGATTTGCAAGAAAGATTTCAGCTTGGTCTCTAATTCTGTTCTCGCATGCCATTCAGTGTTTTCTTATGTGAGCTATGTTTTTGGTGGCCTTCCAGTCTTCATAAAGCCAAGATCCAGAACTTTATACAGGATATTGGACATACTAGTAGCTATTTTTTATATGCAGGATCTGGGCTTGCCCAGCCTGGGAAGGGGAAGGCAGATGTAATTGTTGTCTTTGGCTATCTGAGGGGTGGTTATAGAGAAGAGACAGACTCTTCTCAGAGATGCACAGCAAGAAGACAAGAAGCAACAGACATAAGTTGCAGCTATGGAAATTCTCGTTATTTATAAGGAAGCACATTTTTTTCACAATGAGGGTAGTTAAATAGGTGGCAGTGGCCCAGAGAGGTGATGGAGAGAGTCTCTCTCCTTGGAGAGTCAAAATTCAGCTGGACAGGTGCCTGACCAGCCTGATCCAACTCTGTGCAGGAGTGAAGGTTGAATACTCCCAAAGGCCCCTTCCAACCTAAATTATTCTAAGATTCTGCTATCTACCAGCTCAGTAAGAAATAACATGTGCAATGGCTTATTCTGGGCTACCCCAGTAATGTTGATTTTTCATAGAAACGTGAAAGAATTTAATAACTTCAGTACCTCTGGGTGTCTATCAGAATTGGTAAGAATGTGTAGAACAAAGGAGAAGCTAAATCAGTTCAGTCTTTTCAGGAAACCAGACTGAAAATCCTGTATTAACACAGCAGTCCCATGCATTGTGTGCTGCTGAGGAATGTGTAGTTTTGCATTTGCATCCAGCAAGAATGCTCTAAGTAGCATGTTAGAGTATTCTCCCTTGAGCATGAGTCAGAGGGATGCTGTATGACACAATAAGGGTAAGGCTGCCATTCCTCTCCTCTGTGTACCTCCTTTATTTTTTAGTATGCCCTTATCCAAATTAGTATTACTAGACTGGGTCCCTAAAGGGGAAATAGAAGACTGAATTGGTGGTATCCAGCTCCACTTGCACAAGTGTGACAGACCTAGTGTGATAATTAACAGCAGGAATTGTGCACTGTGCTGCACGGAGACCCATGGCTTCAGGGTAGGTACGAGGTTGGCACAAGAAACAGGCCCAGACCTTTCTCCTCCCTGGTCTCTAGTAGTGTGAGATGTGACACCCACACAGAATTTTATTCCCGTGCCTTCCACTCTTTGGTTTCAGACTGGAGTGGGTCAGGTGCAACTGCTGGATCTACACCAAGGCATTTAAACCACAAATCACCATCCCAGGCTTTGTGGAGTCTAAATTCCAATGGAACAAGTTCAACTTTCAGTGGCTCAGATTTCCTTCCCAGGACTTCTCCGGATATAAATTTTAGGATTGGTAAGAAAATCGGTGTGTACTGCATAGACGAGAATGAAACAGGTTTCGTATGGTGACTCACAAGTCCCAACTAGTGGAAATAAATGGGAAACCTTCCACTGCTTAATCTGTGCAAGACTTCAGTTTGGGGTTAATGGCCTCATTACAGGTGGCCTTTGTTGTACTAAGGAAAGTAATAAAGCCCTTAAGGTCCTGCTATGGCTCTTCTCCAAAAGCAAGGGGACTCTGCTCAGCTTCCACCTTAGGTACCTAAGAGATATTCCAGCCTGGACCAGCTGGCTGGCATTCTCACCAGCCCTACTTCCAGTTGGGAGCACTATAGTCTATCATCTCATGCGTTCCCAAAAGAGTGAAGATCTTGGGGATTACAGAAAACTGAACAGGACGTGCTGTGAGCCTGTTTAATCCAGAAGAATCCCAGCAGGAGGCTTTGCCTTCCAAGATGAAGAAACCATTGCAGACTCATATTCTGAAAAAAGGAAGGCTTTTTCCTAAGCACCCAACATTCCTGGTTGTTTTTTGGAAAGAAACTGATTTCTGATATTTCCCCAAAGACATTAAATCAGTGAGTTCTGCATAGACAGGTTTCTTTCTAAATATCTATATTAAACCAAATTGTTATAATGCAATATTTTCTCTAATTCTTTTCCATAGCTGAAGTTCATTACAACCCCAGTGCTGTATCTCCAGAAGATGGTGAGACCAAACATTCTTGTTCACGAAGAATGCCACCCATGGATACAGGGCTGCACTATCCACAGAAAGCAAGATTTTTTCATTGATACTGAATTTGTTTTCTTCTGATTATCTAATGATGATTCTCTTTTGTGGCATGTAGAAATAAACACTGACCTACATAATTACTTCTACTGTACAGTTATCACTGAACACAATTACAGAGCTCCGTGATTCAATTCTCTAGGCTTCAGTGGCGTGTCAGTACTGACCAGATAAGGATCTGATCCCCCCGTGTTTCCAAGATTAGCCCCCATGTTAAACAGAGACTAAAAACATAATCAGACCTTCTCACACTTTGTCCTCTTTTTTTTTTTTTTTTCTCTTTACACCCTCCTGCCATCCCTCTGCTCCCTTATTCATCTGATACTTATCATCAGAACCTAGTACCCATAATACTGAGTTTCAAGTCATATTTTTGAGCTTGTTGTCTCAGGCATGGACACCTAGGTTCTTCAATCAGTATCTTCCTTTACTTTCTCTGAGATGGACTTTGATCAACTTATACATTAAGAAATTAGACGCATCTTTCCAAGATGTTCCTTTCAGTTTATGATTTTATTTTCATACATGCTGGCACTGCTGACTTGGATTTAGATCTCTAAAGAGATATAGATGCATGTTTAAATGTTTGAAAATGTTGCCCAGTACCTTCAAATGTAATATGGAAACAAGAAAAACTGAAATTCCCACCTCTAATGGGTACTCATGTGTCCCATATAGGTTTCAGATTACCTCTTTTGAAAAAAAAAAAAAAAAACCCAAAAAAACCCCAAACAAACAAACAAAAAAACCAAAAGTGGAACAATAGCAGATAAAATCCTACTGCCTTTGGAGGTGGTGACTAAGAAGTTCACCCTTTAGTAATACTTTGCCGTGAATACAGCAGAATGTAAACTCCATTTCATAACATCACAAGAGAAACTTAATTGTGTTTGAATTGGTAACTTGCCTGCTCAATCACATCCTAGTTTCAGCTTTTAATGCCTTTCTCTGCATCATTCAAGTAAAGATTTTTTGGTGATTGCTAATATAGTAAAATACTAACCTGCACTGATGACAGAGAAGCAGAAAAACATAATGGAGCAATGTCTTAGAACTGGTATGTATGATAGCAAATACAAAAGGTTCTTTCATTCTGTGAATAACTCCTACACAGCAATTAGTGGAAAAAGATGAATATTTCAATGTACAGTAGCTACAGCCAGCCTACTTGAAATTAGACAGATCACCTTCAGTTCCTTGGCTTTCTGGGAGAGATGTTAGCATTAATACCATGCAAACAAGTTCCACCTCATACCCACTTGAAATTGCTTTCAATGAGAAAGAAATTTAATATAAAATACAGTTCAACTATTATCCTCCGCCTTTATTCTTTATTTGCATTAGTAAACTCTTTGTTCCACAATGCTGCTGAATACAAGTTTTCCTGCTTTGCACATGGAAGCAGGACATGCCGTGTCACGGTGCTTCATGCTAAAGCTGTGCCTGACTCCCCTCGTGCCCCTAATCTGGCTGCTGCACGCCCCAGGGAGGGGCCTGGGAGGGTAAGGAAGAGGGCTGCGGAGCTCTTCAGAGAAACCGGAGCTTTAGTCCTCCCCCGAGTTCCTTTTACCTCAGTTTGTCTATGTTATGATATCGCTAAGTCTAGGTGGATGGACAGTCTGACCTGTTTCCTTCTCTACCACCCTGCTCTGACCCTCATCCTTCATGCAGTATTTCTTTCTGCATACAATTTACAGGACAGAAGGTAATAAGATTAAATTTAGACTACACATTAGGTAACAATTTCTAATTTAAGAAAAAAAGTGGTCTAAAGAGCACATGGAATTGCCATCACTGCAGATCTTAAAAACCACTCATAGTGATAAGACAAATATCTGTCAGAACCGGTGTAAATAAAGTTGATTTTGTCTTAGGGCAAAGGATGGAAGGTAAGACCTGTTGAAAGTCCTCCCAACTCTATTTTATATTACTCTAATTTAAAATAAAAAGACAGAAAAGGAGGCTTCATAAGAGAGCAACATGAGACTGGCCTTGTCTCCTGCATACTCTAATTGTTTTATTACATTCCTGATAAAAGATGAAATGTACCTTGGCTTTCTAAAGTTTTTGCTAAATGTCCTCATAATATTATAAAATGATTAGGAGCAACAAAGATCTGGATAGAAACTGGACAAGCAGTGAGAAAAGTGATAGAACACTTAAGACTTCTCTGAGAAATGGTGGGAAACGCCATTCCTTGGGCAGATCCATCGGTGTGTTTCCTGCTTCGGAGGTGTAATAGTGGGAAGAAGAGCAGGCTGTACGGATGTCAGGTCTCCATTCTTGCTACTCTTTTTTTTTTTTTTTTTTTTTTTTTTTTTGCTATTCAAAAAGCAAAATCTGGAAGTAAATTTTTAAAAACCTGTCAACATGCTTGTGTAAAATGCCAAGTGCTAATTGTTCTGGGAAGGCAGTTAGCTTACTTCCACTCTCCATCATATGCCTAATGGCTTTTCCAGTTAAACAGTGTATCATTTATGTTTCAAGCATGGCATTGTTTAGGTTGTCAGCCAGAATGAAGATGTGTAATTTTCTTTGGGCTGAAATAACATCTTCCACACCAGCACCATTACATTTGCTCTTCTCCAACATATCTACACTGACATTCTGTCACAGAACTGTGCATTGATGGTTTTCACAGGGAGAGGACACGCGCAAAGACAAATCTAATAAAAATTGCTATGTGCTTGTGATTCACATCCTAATAACTTTAAGTGATGGGAACAGCTTCCGCAGGTCTGGCTTGAACATGACCTGACGGGCAACGGTGCATTACCGACACAAACACATCCTCCTCCCCACGGTTTTCATCGTATCAGTTGACTCTGCTCACTCTCTGAGAAAGCAGCAATCTAAAAGCTCCTTTGATTGCTAAGTCATTTTCATTTACTCCTAGACTGCTTATTTTTAGCAATATATAATATACACCAAGAAATGTGTGCTCCATTTTAAACCAATGAGAGAAGGATTTCTGAAAGTATATTTATCTAAGGCAATCATTTGATGTCAGATCTCAGTGGGTTGTTAACAATAGGTTAGACAACGCAAAAGGAAAAAATATATGATAGTAAAATCACTGCAGCAGCTGTGGTGACTCGGGCAAAACCCTCCCCACTCCCATCTTTACTCCCATATTTAGACCAGCACACAACTCCACCACCCTTCATACTAAGGTGGTGCAGATCCAAGGTCTAGGCAGCTCACTCAAGGGTCCCTGGAGACTTTTGATGCCTCCTCATGGACAAGTGGCTAAAGCTGCCCTTTAGCTCAATGTATGTACAGCACTTTGATAACGATGTGATAGATAAATATTACACAGGATAACAGTTAAAGGTCAGTACAGCTTGTTTAAGTTTTCTTCTGACGGTTTATGAATCTCTGTTAGTGGTTAGCAATACAGGTTAGCAATACTTACGCCCAAGATGTGTAATTCTCTCTAAATTTAGCAGGCAGTTATTATTGGGACAATGAAAGAAATGACATTATGAGAAATGATTTGAGATGAAAAATCAAAATACTGGGAAGATAATTACCTATTGTGTAAGATGATTGTTCTTAATGCATAATACTCTGTGCTTTTAGGTATCAGAAAGTATTTAGCATGTAATGGCGCTCTAACAGTTTTAAATTAAATGTATCATTGAGAGTTTCAAGGATGCCCAAAAGAATGATGCTTGCTATATTACTTTATTGCCTCATTGTTCTTGTAACAGCAGAAATTCAAGAACACATTACAGTGCTTGTTTTCCTCTCTTTTCCAAGAAACGACACCAGTATTTCATTGGCCATTCCAATACTGAAACTGGCTGAGGAAACTCTTGTAAAAGGATGCTGGAAGGGATGTAAGAATGGAGAAACAGGTTAAAAGGAACATGAAACTGTTGATTAATGTCAGCATTTGAGATCCTTGAGATCCCCTAACTCCACTGAATAGTCTTGATACAGACATCGTAACAAAACCAGAAGCTATCTTTTTAGATTTCAACCAAGCAGATAATCCATCTTGTGGCTGTATTGCTGAATGCTGCTCCTGACAGCTCATCTGAACTGACCTTCCATCTCACCTTTGTAACACTGAGGGCTGGGATGGTGTTATTTTTGCTCCTAAACGCGCTGCTAAGTTTTGTGGTATTTGAAAGTGTAACTGGATAGCTCATCTTCAGTTCTAAAGAACAGGGATGCAGTTCCAATCAAACATTATTGCAGGATTTGATGGCCTGAGTCTCAGTGCCTGCACAGCTCCTTCTGCCCTTGATGTAGAATCAACTCCACACAAGTGATAGGGAGATTAAACCAGTAATAAACCAATGTATTTTTCTCCTAAATGGGTAATCTTTGACAATGAATAGTTATACTCTTCTACAAATGTGACAAAGCCAAGGAAATTGTCATTAAAGATTCCTAAAAATATATTTTCCTAACTTTTAATTACTTGGTAGTTGTTTTGTCTCCAACTGCTGAGGACACTGGGCGATGGTAAAAAATCAAAATACAGGAGAGAAATGTTCCCACTTAGGGTGAAAAACATCAGATTGATGTTCAGACACCAAAACCAAGCACTTGTGCTCACCAGATGAAGAAATCCAGCACAGGCAGTGCCTTATGGAACCTCCCTCCCCGCTGCCTGACACTTGTAGCTCTAAAATGGATGCCTGGCGAGATGGGGAGGTGATGTTCTCTCTGCTTAGAGAGGGACTCAGATGTAGCGGAAGGAAATGACTCATTCCCGTTCTCACAGTAGGACAGAGTAGAACTGGAAACAGCCCTGGGTGTGTTAGTAATTTGCTCTAAACATGGGCCGCTGTTTCTGACATCGACGCTCACTCTGGGTGTGCATTCAAGCTTCCCTATTTAATACTTGCCTGCCTGAACACTAGAAAATGGATTGGGAACAGTCACACAAGTCATACAGACCATCAAATGGCTGTCAGATAAAAGCTTCATTCTCACTACTGACATGAGTTATGATACTCTCTGTCCCCCAATCTTGCCATTATTTGTCATGCTATT